CGTAATGATTTTTTTGTTAATTTGGTTTCCAAGATTTTTAACCTAACTCCTTCCAACTTAAAATTAAGCCTCATTAATGAAATTCAGGATGAATCTTGCTTTCATGATTAAGCTCTGCTGTTAAGGGTTGGGTATTAACCAACGATTAATCATTACCCACCGCCATCACATCCATTGTAAAAATGTACGGAGGAGAAAGAGAAAGAGGAGAAGGAGAAGAGGGAGAAGGAGGAGGTGAAGGAGAAGGAGAAGAGGGAGGAGAAGAACAGGAAGAAGAGAAGAGAGAGAAGGAGAAGAGGGAGAAGTAAAAGGAGAAGGAGAAGAGGGAGGAAAGGAACAGGGAGAAGAGGGAGAAGAGGGAGAAGGAGGAGGAGAAGAACAGGAAGAAGAGAAGAGAGAGAAGGAGAAGAGGGAGAACAAGGACAAGGAAAGGGATAAAGAAAAGGACAAGGAGATGATGGAGGAGGAGAAGAAGAAGAAGAAGAAGAAAGAGAGGGAGAAGGACAAGGAAGAGTACAAGGAGGAGAAGGAGAAGGAATACTGATACCCTCTTTAGAAAAACTCCACCTTAATCAATACCTGGAACTTTATAATTCTAAGAAAATGCTGTTCTATAAGATTAGGCTACAACAAACCTAGGTTTCCATTCATGAAAAATTGTCCAACTGCCAAACTTCCAGGAATTCCCGAGCATTTGTATTTTATCCAAAAAGATTCCACCAGCACCACCTGGCAGTCAGAAGCAATCATGTAAATTTCTTCTCCATGCACAGGCATACTCAACCACAATTTCAAGAGGGAAATGATTGACCGAGCCAAATCCAAAAATGCCAGGGAATTCCTGGAAAGCGAAGGACTGAGGCCGATCAGCTATCCACAGACAAATACAGATAAACATGTCTACGCACCATTTAAATGGCAGAATAAAAGGCGGGAACAACTTATCTAGAGAAGAGTAGCGACAGATGAACAGTCAAGGCAGAAACAGTATCCTAATCAGGGAATCATTAAGGAGGAAAACCTCCATATCCACCAAGACTGAAACAGGCTACTGTATGTAAGCAATACATAGTTATATATTGCAGTTATATAGTTATATATTTCATTCTGGGGTCCTTGCTGCTCTCTGAGTTTGGTGGTTTTCTTACAGATGTTTCATCACCCGACTAGGTAACATCATCAGTACAGTTTTATGTTACTCAGTTGGCAAATGAAAAATAGGATTGATGTTGCTACCTAACCTGGTAATGAAACATCTCAGAATAACCCAACAGTTTAATGCTCATCTACATATATTCTGCACTATGAAATCCTTAAATCTCTACCTACAGTCTATTGCCCTCTTGTGATCATGAGTTGCTGAACAGTCCTTACCACTGGATGAGTATCTTCCAACACGTTGAATTCTATGTAATGAAAGAATCACAGTTATGTATTAATGTATTATTATTATCACAGTTATGTATTAATGTATTATTATTATCAATGTATTATTATTGTTGTTGTTGTTGTTCTTATTATTATTATTATTATTATTATTATTATTATTATTATTATTATTATAGCAAAGTCTACTGAGACGCTGATGTATACCCCAAACCTTGTATTTCTACAAACTATTACTCCCCATTTAGGCATTCTAGAGCATTTTTCATAAATCAGTTGCCTAATAATCCCTTTAACATTCACTTTTAACATTCCACGTTAATCTGAGAGCAATTGAGGTATTGAAGAACGCTGTCTGTATAATTGTGAGAAATATTTTAAGAAACGCAGCCTGTTGCTTATGTAGCACTTATTGTAGTGATTACATAGGTAATAATTTCTTACAAAAGGCAGAACAACTCCCTTTTATGGATATTTCAATAAATGAAATTACAGGAGTTTGACTTCTTTTCCAGAGAAAGTGCTGATGTTTAAATAGAATCTTCCTGTCCCAGCTTTATTTTTCATCCATTTGATAACAAGCTTCTGCTCCAACATAGTCAATGCAATATAATGATTCCCATCATTTCCCCCCCTCATTTTCATAAGAGGGAGCCAGTTTAACGATCGATCCATTCTCATTTTGCAAAATAGATCTCCGTGTTTGCACTGTTTATTTCAGCCTTGTCCTAATCTGCTCGCTCTCTCGATGGGTTCCAAATTTTCAGTCACCGGGGCATTCCATCACCCACTTCTAAAAACCTGGTTTATTTCAAATGAAGTCAGTTGTCCCGTTTCAATCTCTTCATGCTGTGAGTTGCTCTACATCCAGGGGACCAACTCTAAACCATCATTGTCATGATGTCATTAGGACTTTGCTAAGGACCTTATTAAGGAAGAACCCAATGCAACATCTGACTGGATCTGTTCTTCTATTGCCACTCACTTTCAATTACCAGTGGGGGAAAAAAAACCAAAGTGAATTAGAGGGTAATTAAATCACTTTTTTTTTGTCTGTTGGTTGGTTGGTGTTTCTCTGTAGAAAGCAGACGAAGTACATCCAGGAACAGTTGAAAGAGATACAGAATGGGAAAACCTACAGCCTTAATGCTTCCAGCATCATGGCGAAAACAGAGACCAGAGCCCAAAGCCAAATCCATCTGCAAAACGTGAGTAAATGTGCCAATGTTAATCCTTATTATGCTGGCTGAATGTGGGAATGCTGATGGCACGGTCACTGTCACTTCTTCCTGGGTCCCAAAGTGGGACACCTGTGGTCCTGGGCGTAAAAGAGGGGAGAACAGAGTGTCAGTTTTATGCTTGCGTTGTCAAAGTTGGCCATGATGAATGTCAACGTCTCAACTGGCTTAGCAAGAGTTGATTCAAATATGGTCAAAGGTGGATGCTTCCACCACCTGCCACACCAGGAGAGGACATTTATATGTGGTGCTGCAGCCATCGACGATACTGCTCATGCTTTGTTTGATTGTTAATTACATGACTCTCTTAGGTTTAGATATTTAACCTCTCTACTTGAAATGACAGCTCACTAAGATCTGTATTGAAAATTGTCTTTTTTCCTCCTGGCTTCTAATCTGTACATCATCAGCAGAACTGCTAAGTTTATGGCTAAGGCAGTTGACCAAAGTACCCATTATTTCAAATAGATTGGGGTATCCTATAAAGGTGAAGTATTTACCTGAATGTTGACTTTTTTCGTCTTCTTAACACATACCATATTTTCCCCAAAATAAGACCAGGTCTTATATTAATTTTTGCTCCAGGTGATGTCTAATTTTTTTCATGTACAACAATCTACATTTATTCAAATAAATAATGTCAGTAATATGACTTATTTAGACATCACCCTGCCAACAAAAGTACGTATAGTCAAGGCCATGGTTTTCCCAGTTGCAATGTATGGCTGTGAAAGTTGGACCATATAAGAAAGGCTGAGCGCTAAAGAATGGAGGCCTTTGAACTATGGTGCTGGAGAAGACTCCTGCGAGTCCCCTGGACTGCAAGGCGATCAAACCGGGCAGTCCTAGAGGAGATCAACCCCGACTGCTCTTTAGAAGCCCAGATCCTAGGACCTGTTTTTTGTTATTGTTTGCTCCTCTTACATGCCATTACGTCAATAAACAGCTCTCTTGAAGGGGTGGCATTCACAGGGATTTTTTTTCCCCCATCTCAGAGTTTTAATCTGTTTTTCCAGGGCTTTCTTCCTTCGTTGAGAGAAAATTGGAACGCATGCATTATTCATTGTAGTGGATGATCTTATAATAGAGGGTTACTCGTTACTTGAAAGATACTTTGCATAAAAGCACAGGTCAAACTCTAACTGTGATTTAAAATAAGGCCAGTTTTGGCTAGATCAAATTTTGTCTCCCAGATCACAACACTGAACTGCAGCTATAGGGCAGTATTAACTGGGTTTTAATCTCGTTGAGATTTCACTGGGAAAAGCCGAGATATTTTGACATTCCCGAAGACTGGAAAATATGTCAGGTAATCCTTGACATACATCCTTTCGTTTAATAGCCGTTTAATAACAATGGCATTGAAAAAAGTTGACTTATGACCATTTTCAGACGTACGACCATCGCAGCATCCCCATGGTCACGTGATCAAAATTCGAATGCTGGGCAACGGATTCATATTTACGACAGTTGCAGTTTATAAAACTTAGGCGAAACTCACTGAACAACTGTCTCACTTAGTAACAGAAATGTTGTGATTGTGAGTCAAGGACTACCTGCTCTGCTGTTAGTTGTGAAGGGTTGATTGTTAATTGAATTCATCACTTACGTGAGTGTTGCCATTTCCCTTCGGAAACTTTAGGAAGTGCTTATTTTATCTGCTTATGTTTTTATTGACGTCCTTGGTTTTTATGTCACGCCAATCAACAGGTGACTCTGTGTTCTTTTAGAGTTTGTGTCTGGTGTCACTGAATTTATTTTGCCCCTTTAGGTGGGACTTCCTTTCTACCCCCAGTTGGAATGCACAGGGTAGAAATATACATTACCATTGCTCGCTTGCTTCTTGCTCAGGAGAATGTGAGATGTAAATGCGAAGAAATAACTATAATTCTTCTACTTCCCCTTGTAGCTGGTTATAATGCATTGCAAATTTGTTTTCCACTTCAGCCAGCTCATTTATGTTTTCAGCTGTTTGCCTAGCTGCAGTTAAAAAAAATGATAATACATTCCTTCCCCTCTTTGTCACCTCTCCGTGCCAGCTACAAATTCAGCCGTTTGAAATACAAAAATAGTATGCAGAGCTAAAACTGCATTACAAAATTAGTGTGGAAGACTGTGCTTTCAATATATTTGTATTAACGCTTCACACATACTTTTGAGAAAAAAAATAGTTTCTACTCTAAAATCTTCTATGTAAGGTTTAATGAATGGAAATTCATGGAAGTCATTGAAAATTCAAATGGTAAGACTTATTCTTGACTTTATACAGAAATAGGTACAGTGTCATGGGTCCTGACAGATGAAACTCTTCAAAAGAACTTTGAGGCATTGTTTACCTTAAAGAATCTTTATTTTGAGTAGCACAACATCGGCAGTGCATAATCGAAGCCAAAAACTGAATTCCCCTCCCCTGAGCACGTAGTATCAAAGCACAATTCCCTCCTTCCATTGACAGTCATAAATCACATTCCCCAATTAGCTTGAAGCGCGGGCCTCCTCTTCAGTTCTCCAGCCCACCAAGTCCTTATCAGCTCTGGTTAGAATAACCTTGATTCTCATGCTAGGGCTAATGTTGTTATGTCTAGCTGGACTCTCGTTCACATCCCCCCTCCCAACATCATCTAACTCTAAAAGCAAAAGGTAAAATATGGCTACATTTCCCTTTGTTGTCAATGCAAAAACATCCGATGTTTGCAGCGTTAACATACAGTATATATAGAAATGAGTGCCACAGGATTTTTGTAGGAACACCGGAGGTGATGCGTATGAAAATCCATTTCAAAGGTTTCTTTCAATTGGAAAATAATTCTGTATGGAATTATTTAAATTGGTTATTATTGTTATTTTAATGATCCAGTTGTGACTTTTGAACTGATTTGGGCCAGATATTTGAATCTGACCCAATTTGATTCAAGCAATTTTTTTTATTAGTAAAAGACAAGTATGGAAGCATCTTAATTTATCTGTATTTGATGGGATATATTTAATTTGATTTATCAATTTAAATTGACCATCCGAAAGAGAAGAATCAATTTAAATTAATTTGAAATGTCTAGTAGTCACAGAGACCTAATTAATACACTTATCAGGTATCTCTTCAAGATGTGGTCAAAAAAAATCAATATGGTGGTCGTATTGGAACACATGTGACACACATAAAACCGTTAAGTTTAAATGAAAAATATCTCTGAGACATTAGATAGTCCGAGCCACCGAAACAGAACTGTATGACTTAGATATGGATTTAGACTTAACAGAATTAGCCATGATCAAGATATCAAGATATCTCCAAGATAACAACAACAACAACAACAACAACAACAACAACAACAACAACAATAATAATAATAATAATAATAATAATAATAATAATAATAATAATAATAATTCTGCAACAAATATCATTTGTCTGTAAGCAAGAACTGGTGGGATCATAAAATAGAGAAAGTCATAGAAAATGATAAAGTTAAACTGCTCTGGGACTTCAGAATTCAAACAGACAAGCACCTGCAACATAACACCCCGGACTTAACAATTGTCGATAAGAAAGACAAAAAAGTCTGGATAGTGGACGTGGCAGTGCCTGGAGACAGCAGAATAGACGAGAAAGAACTGGAGAAGATCACAAAATACAAAGACCTACAAATAGAAATAGAAAGACTATAGCAAAGGCAAGCAAGAGTAGTACCAATAGTAATAGGCGCCTTGGGTGCAATTTCAAAACAACTGGAGTACCACTTGAACACCATCAGCATTGACAAATTCGCCATTAGTCAATTGCAAAAGGCGGCCTTACTAGGAACTGCTTCCATCTTGCGACGAGATCTGTAATACCATCAAACATCCACATCTGCCTATCCCAGGTCCTTGGGAAGGACTCGATAGGTAGACAAAAATGCCAAATCCAGTCTGAACATCTGGCTGACTGAGCAATGATTAATAATAATAATAATAATAATAATAATAATAATAATAATAATAATAATAATAATAATAATAATAATAATAATAATAATAATAAAGTATTCCAAGTGTGGCCTTACCAAGGCATTGTAAAGTGGTATTAACACTTCACGTGATCTTGATTCTATCCCTCTGTTAATGCAACCTAGCACCATGTTGGCTTCCAAGTATCTTAAAATAAAAGCTTAAAGACATTTTGTACAACTACACAAATGTTCCAGATTTTGCAGTGGAGAAGGTGGTTTACTTGAAGAGCATTTTTTTTTTCTGTGCATGAATGGAAGTAAAGTAGAATACTTGAATTTTAATGAGATTCCCTATTTCCCATGCAGGACAGATTCTCAGCAGGAATGTCTACGTGTTTGGGAAACTGTGCAATTATTTAACTGGGAAATTACAGAGGGGAGATTTAGGGGTTGGAGAGAATGAAAATAGAATGGTAGCCTATTTAAACTAAAATAGAATGTAGTCTATAGGTTAGTTTTCAGCAAAAATAAGAGTTATACTGATAACTAAAATAGATGCATGCTGAAAGACTAGAGACTAGATTTAAAGAAATATGCGCTGAAAGAGTATATATGCATATCTCACATCAAAGAGAAATGCAACTCTTTCTAAGAAAAAAACCTTGTGTTTTTTTTTTATTAAGATCTGTGAGAGGTTGGCTTTTGATCCTCATTTGAGCAAAGTGTTAATGATTTTATTGAGAGGAGAAACAATACAGATACATTTTAAATTTCTATGTAATTTTGTGCATCTGTTTGATCCTAAATGGTCTCGGCTAAAAAAAATGCAAACAGACAGATATGCAAAACTGTAATTGCATATTCAGTCATGTTCTTCATAAACCATTCACCATTTCGATTTATTTTGCTCTTTATTCGGTACTTATTTTTAAGCCAAATGGCACCGCATGAAGGAGCGTATTCAGTCATAAGGCATTACAAATCTATATCTGGATTTTTGCTGAAATGTGAATTTTTTACTTTATTGCATTGCACCTTAATCAACATTTATACAAGGCACTGGCGTACACAGGGATAAAGGGTTTAGCAGCATCTATATTTGGATTGTTATTTAGATGTGGATTATTTATTTTATTGCCTTGAGCCTTATCATAATCAACTTTTGTACATTGTACTAGTATACACAGGAATGAAGGGTTATAAGAAGAAGCCGTATAAAAAAATGAGTTACTTGATAAATAAAGTATGAGAGGGGGGTCCTCGTTGCTTAGAAAGACAGCAAAGTGGAACATCTTCCAGATTTTTATTATTTTTATTTTATTGTTGGAATTTGAAGAACCTCAGTGCAAGAAACTGCTGTGGGTTTGGGCCATTCTCAGCCTGCAAACATCTATAGTTGTCAAGTGCAAAGAATCAGAACCACATGTTTTTCTCCAGTGGAGATGATTTATTTCTCATGCCTATGAAGAATCATGAAGAATCTAATCAATTAACAAGCACTAAATTGGCACTAAATAAGAGTCAATGGAGTTCAAGAGGGATGGACTTAGACCACTTGTGGCAATGTGATGACTCCTGGCTGATTCCTCTCTTGACTCCACCCTCAGGCATCTCCTGCTCTTCTTCTACAATGCTAACTTAAAATGTCTTGCCTCCATTGTCAGTGCTTCTGGTGTCTTTGTTTTCAGGCTCTGCTTGCCAAAATAATGGATAAAGCCCAATAGAGTCAATAAATCTTGAGATGCCTTTGAGTAATGTCAGTGGAAGGAAGAATAAAATTTTATTTTGTTTTGTTTTGGTTATTTTGTTTTATTTTATTTTATTTTATTTTATTATTATATTGTATTTTATTTTATTTATTTTATTATTTTATTTTATTTTATTATTTATTTTATTTATTTTATTTTATTTATTTTATTATTTTATTTATTGTATTTTATTTATTTTATTGTTTTATTTTATTTTATTGTTTTATTTTATTTTATTGTTTTATTTTATTTTATTTTATTTTATT